CCATATTTGTGAAATGATTGAAAATTTCGTTAAAAAGGGAGGCCCTAACCCTAACCCTGTTAACCACTCCATAAGCCATAAGCCATTGATTGTTATCAAAACAGAAATTTACTCATATTTTAACTTTTTTTTAATGTTCACTATTTCAACTATTTGACAAGTAATGATCTAAAAAACTTACCTAATTAAATTATTTTCAATTTGATATAAATAAATAATCAAGCGCTAGATAATTCAAAATGGGCGGAGTTAATTTATTAAAAGTACATTATGATTGTTTGTAAACATGGATGATACCATAGGAGTACCTATCTCACGTTTTACCTAAAATAAGAACATTTATTTACTAATGAAATTTTCCTGTGCCCAAAAGAAAGGTCAAAGTATTACCGGTACCAGCCCCACCACCAAGTAAGTGGTAGACTATCTATGCAATTGTAGTATGGCTAATTACAATTAGTTATATATAACAGTATAACTTAACTCATATCCATATGCCATATTATAGTAAGGGTAAGAAAAGTAAAAAAAGTAAAAGACAAAAGTCGAAAAAGTGGTAGTTGGTTTGATAAAATCATCATCATCCTCATCATCATCATCATCATCATCATCATGTCACCACTCACATCTCATTGGCTCATCAATCAAATCAAACAAGGCAAGTGCATAAAATAAATCTCTAAACTAAAGCTGCTAAACAAAGGAATTGACGTCATTAATTAAACTTCAAAAAATTTTAAAGTTCTACGTAACCAGAGTTTCTTTTTCTAAAAAAATGTCCGACAAATCCATTTATCAAGTTTTTTTTCTAAGAAAAAAATGTAGGTTTTAAAAATCAAAATATCATTTTCCAGAAATAAAACACTAGCTAAAAGCGAAATTAAGTATAAAAAGTAAAAGAAATGGATATCTTTTATCCGACTATGAATTATAACGGTATTTTAAGATTATTATAAAGTATTTTTTAATTTATAGTGATATTTATGAAAATTTATAATGCCAAGGTTGAAAAATTTTATGTAGACTTGAAGCCTAAGCCAGAGTTGGAAATTATTACCTGGATTTGAAGTCAACATTTTTAGGGGATCTCAGTCGGATATTTCTCATCCGACACCAATGTATTTAACGTTGAGCAGCCGATAATACAATGCGCAAAAGCATGTCGTAATAACTCCAAACTATAATTGTGAAAAGCATTAATTAACAAGCGCTTAAATTTTAACTTTATATATTTAATTCAAAACAATATACGATAGTCTTTTTACGACAAATTAATATAGCATATTTATAAGATATAAATTTTAAAATTATTTTAACTTTTATTCTAATATATGCTATGGTTTGAATGGTAGGTAAAATTGTTGATAAGATTTTGGTGTAGAGAAATCATGGGTTGAAATGAAAAATAAAATGCTAAATGCAGCTGAGACGAATGTCATGTAAAGAAGAGGCCAGCAACAACATAAGGAAACATGGTGAAGGAATACAAAACGGTTGAAAAAACAATAAGTGATAAAAAATGGTTATAAGAATTGGAAAATATCAAAAAACAAAACGGTCATGGAGCCTATAAAACAGAAAGCTAAAGTGGAAATAGCGATAGCAAAACTAAAGTATTGCAAAAACTTAGAAGAACTGAGTACAGAGGACAATAAGAACGCCGTCTACCGTATGGCTAAGTTAGGAGATAGAAAGACACAAAATGTTTACAAGAGTAAATTGCATGAAAGATAGCAGAAGCTTCGTTGTTTGAGACCAAAAGGGGAGAGAAGAATTATGGAGGGAGTATATTGAAAAACTTTAAAATGAAAAAATCGATTGGGATGGGATATTGAAGCAAATATAAATGTAGCAATTGACTGACTTCCTGCATATCTAAACAGGATTTTTATATGATCTGAACGGTAAATTTTTACGTTGTTTTTTTAAAATCCCCTCTCCAAAGATTGCAAATATAGCAAAGACAACAATAATCAAATAATATAGCACAATTTGATCATTCCAGCTGTTATAACAATATTCATGAAAAGAAATGGATTAAAGGTATATGTATATAATTCAGAGAAATGATTTCAGTGCTGTTTTTAGGGGTATGCCTTTGAAGGGTGAAGTATATAAAGCATGTTCAAAAATTTGCCTGTTGTACAGATGCAAAACTTGGGCTATGACGATTAAAAACTTAAAATGGCTGGAGAAACAAAAATACAGATGTTGAAAAGAATAATGGGTGTATCATTGAAGAATGGCCTAAATAATGAGGTAATAAAGAATAAGTTAGAGATAGATGAGTTATCAGATGTATTTAGAGGTATTAGACTAAGATGATTCGGCCATGTAGTGAGGTAAGTAAATGAGGACTGGAAAAAGAAATGTACTATTTATTATAACTGGCAGTTTAGGAAAAAGTGAAAAACCAAACTCACCTAGGAAAAAGTATTGTCAGAGGACATGAGAGCACTGGGCCTGAAACCAGGACTTGTCCAGAATGGAGAAAAATGCAAAAAATGGTTAATTAAATGTCTTTAATCATGCAACAAGGCCAACCCGAAGTTTTTGTCAGCAAACCACTGGGCGGCTCTGTCTTTTAGGGTTTAGGGTATATATATATATATATATATATATATATATATATATCAAATCAAATTTTGTATTTATATAACGCCAATTATAATTGCTTCTCATAAGCGTTCTCCTCGTATTAAGTATGTTGAAAGCAAAGACATCATCGGTGGAGATCACTAGGAGTTACCAAATAGGTATGTTTTTAGACGTTTTCTAAACCCAGCTAATAATAACCCAGATATACGTGATTTAATAGGTAGGCTGTTCCAAAAAATAGGGCCAGCAACTGCAAAATTTCTATCTGCTGCTTTCAGATTCCTATCTCTAACATACAGCGTGTTTGAATCAGCAGACCTTAGACGCCCATGTAATGACATAGATGATACTCTAATACATTTATCTTCTAAATATTTCAGAGCCAAACCATTCAAACTTTTAAATACCATTAAACCCAACTTGAACATAATTTTTTGTTTAACACGCAGCCAATGCAACTCTTACAGAATTGGTGATGCATGATAAAATTTTAATTTGCGGTATATTATTCAAGCAGCCTGATTCTAAACCATCTGAAGTTTAGACAACAGTTTATCAGCTATACCATATAGTAGACTGTTACAATAATCCAATCTAGAGTTGATAAAAGCATGTACTAATAATGTCATTGTATCTCCATCTACCGATTTTGTGACTTGACGTAACTGACGTAGTTGGAACATACATTTTTTAACCGACAGACTGACTTGTGGACCCGTTGTCATGTGGGAGTCCATCACAATTCTCAAATTGGTGACCGTTTTACGAATGTTAATCGATGAAGGTTCAACCGCTGATGTTTGTTGCCATGTACCAGCCAACATGAACTGAATCTTAGTCTGATTCCACTGATTTATTAGTGTTTATCAACTTATATTCGAATTTTTCAATTTGTCAGTAAATTTTAATCAACAAAATTTAATCTGTTTAAAAATTTATTTTTATTAGCAAACATTCTATTTAAATTATTGAAGACGTTATTGATTAGTATTATTATAGTTTAAATATTAAAATATATGCCAATAAATTTGAAAAAGAAACATGAAGTTCTAATGAAAAATTTTAACAACGAAAAACTTAAAAATTTAAAAATTTTTGAACGATAGTAGTCAAGGCGGCAATAACAGCGTCAAAATTGTGAGGCGCGAAATTAATTTAATTTATTATTATTGTTATTACTATTATTATTATTATTATTATCTACAAGAAGGGCAACGCCAGCGACCATTCAAATTTTCGCCCAATCACTCTACAACCAGTACTATACAAAGTATTTTCCGCTTTAATAAAATCCAGATTGTATAATTTTCTTGAAAAAAATAATTTTATCAACAACAATATCTAGAAAGGCTTCTATCCAGCAGTTGATGGATTGGCCGAACATACACAAATGCTCTCCCATTTGTTAAATAACGCAAAAAGACACCAACGTACCTTTGTAGTCGCATTGCTAGATCTACGGAATGCATTTGGAGAAGTAAACCATCATCTTATCGATTCCGTTTTGAAATGCCATCATGTTCCACAGCCATTTCACGATTTAATTAATTCAATATATTCTGACTATTCAATATCAATAGCAATTAATGGTGAATTAACGCAGACAATACCAGTCAGAAAAGGTGTGCTCCAAGGCGATCCGTGTTCACCATTACTTTCATTACTTTTAAATATATGCTTCAATCCTCTCGTGATGATTCTAGACAGTCAGGAATACAAACAATTTGGTTACCTGTGGGGCCCAACCTCCGACTTAAAAGCTAGATCATGGCCACAATTTGCCGACGATTCGGCAATAATATCACACAGCCCTGAAGGCGCACAAAAACTAATTGATCTAAACCAGGCCTGTTGCATTTGGTCAGAGATGAAGATGCGAGTTGATAAATGCTCTTCCTTCGGAATGAGAAAACTAGATGGTACCTATCAACAATTCATGCCAAGATTGACCGTTGACGACGCAGCTATCCCAAATGTAGAGATTGGCCAGGGTTTCACTTATCTAGGCAAGTTATTTGACTACGATTATAATGATAAAAAAGCAAAAAATATGATTCACACAAAAGTCGTTGAACAGCTGGAAACAACTACAAAATTAGATATCAGCTCACAACAGAAGCTTCAAATTTTAAGAAGATACCTACCTTCACAGCTAAATTTTGAACTGCGTAGCTACAAATTCTCGCTGACCTGGATATCTGAAAACCTAGATAACCTAATTGTAGAAACGGTTAGAGAATGGTTGAGCATGCCAATCAGCAGCTGCGTATCGGAACTATTATCACTGCCTTCGAAAATGGCGGACATGACATCATCTCATTGAAAAATACAGCTTAAAAAATGAGACTGAAACTTCGTAATTATTTCAAAACCAGCGGCAACAAAGAAATCCAATGTTTATGGAGAGAATCATCCATTGATTATATCAAGATTGATAATGAACTTGCGAAGGGAGGCACGTTAAAAACATCGCTTAAGCATCTGGAAGATGAGAGGATTGAATCTAACTTAAATCATCTACTTTCATTGCAGAGCCAAGATTCATTGATTTCAAAAATAAAGAATTTTGTTCAATCTTCCCGCATATCATGTTGGTCAAAGACATTAAAAAATCTCAGCGAGGTCCACTACAAATTTGCCAGAAAGTATCTTAACCAGCAGTTGCCAACAAGTGCGAATTTGTTCAAATGGGGCAAAACACAAAACCCTCTATGCCAATTGTGTGGTCTTCGCCAGACAAATAAACATATGCGGTTCCAAGTCTGCTCTAGGAAGATACACCAAAAGACACAACCATGTGTTGACCACGATCGTCACCTGGTTAAAAATCTGTGCTCCAGTCAACTGTATCATATTTGCCGACCTAGATTTAGATGATATTCGCCCAATAACACAACTGTTCAACACCCTTCGTCCCGACATTGCCATTCTCTGTAACAACAAAATAGAAATTTTAAAATTAACAGTCTGTCACGAAACCAACCTCGAATCCTCCAGACAGTATAAAAGAGATAAATATTCAAATAAATTGCAATCATGTTTTAATGACAACTACAAACATTGCTCGATAACTATCAATTCGTTTTAAATAACACCTATTGGTTTTTATAATAATTTTAATCTTTCTCTATTTAAAGTTTTATGGCCGATTTCTTTCAATGACAAATTAATATGTGAAGTAATAAGATTCTCGTACAATATTTATTGCAATAAATTGCGATACAATATTTATTGCAATTTATTGCATGATACTACTAACTTTTAAATATATTTTATCGCACTACACTTGCAAACGCAATGAGCTGTGGGGTCTACATACACTTTTATTAATTTTATAATTTCATTAACGCCATATTATTTTATTTCATCTATTTCATTCATTTGCTTTTAAAGTTTTGAGATCAAAAAAAGAGTTTTCATTATTATTATTATTATTATTATTATTATTATACATTATTATTATTAGTACATCAATAGCTCCGAGATAACGCGATGATCCAGGTCGACTGTAAAGCTATCAGAGGTCCTCTATAAATTCACCAGAAAATACCTTATTCAACAGCTACCAACAAACGCCAACCTCTTCAGATGGGGCAAAACTACAAATGCATCATGTTTGCTCTGCAATGCAACACAAACGAACAAACACGTCATGTCAAACTGTGGCTCATCATCTGCATTGAGCAGATACTTAGATCGCCACAACAAAATTTTAAAAATAATTATCGATAATTTCATGGTAGACACGAGGCCGGATGTCGAAATTTTTGCGGATTTGAAAGGGGAAAAGATACGACCAATAACAGACTTGTTCAGATCACTCCGTCCTGACATTGCTGTCCGCAACAAAGACACGATCGAGATACTTGAACTGACTGTCTGCCATGAAACTAACTTCATAAAATCAAAACAATTTAAAATGAATAAATATATTGTTAATTTGAAAGATAATATTATTGATGACTTTAAGCACTGCAATATTTTAATTAATACTTTTGGAATATCGCCAATTGGCTTTTACAATCCTTTAAATATGTCTTCAATTGATATAACTTGGACCGATTATTTTAGATTTAGCTTGATTAACAGTGTAATTTCGTCATCATATGCTCTGTACTGTGATAGAAACAATGAGTGAAGTTTTTTTATACTATTTATCATCATGGTACTTACTTATTTTCATAAGATGACGAGCAATGATGACTATCCGTATTACTCTAACACTTTATCTTTATTTTATTTTATTCATCTAACTGTATATTTAACTATATTCAATTTTATTTCGTTGTCAATATTTTGATTTTACTTATGCTCTGTCTTTGGAAAATAAAAGAGTTCACATTATTATTATTATTATTATAGTATCGTGTAAACATGAGAGTCGGTCGATTTTAGTCTGCTCACTGTTTTTACCTACTTTAATTTGGTTTTATAAAGTTTAATAATATAAAAATTAGTTGTAAAGATGCGGAAAATTCTGTCGATTAAGCTATTTTTATTAAAATCTAATTTTAAATATTTATTTAGTTTTATTTTGCTTTTAAATATAATTTCAACAGTTAACTCTGGTAAATGTCCACATTGTTTTAAAGAGTTTGTAAATGTAGGAAGACACTCCTGGAGGTGCACTAATAATGACAATTTTAATATACGCAGCTCACCAAAAAATAATTGTGATATCTCCTAACATTTTTAATAGTTCTAAAAGTAACGATATTTTAACTAATAATGATAATAATTTAATTCCATGTTGCTGTAACAAGAGTTGCAAAGGTCGAAAGGGCTTGAAATTACACCAACGTTTTTGCAAAATGTTTAAAAACCTTAGGAATGCACTAGAAACCCCAGAGAAATCTGACAAAAATTTGGAACTGTCGCCACCACCACAACGCGAACAAGCATCTTTTGAAAGGTTGGACAGCAACATCATGGAAACTCCTCTCATTGAAATAAAGTTACCTAAGACTCTAAAACATTGGACGGGAGCAAATACATACTTCCAACTCCACAGAACGTCCTTACCAAATGTATCAGACATCAACCATTTTACCACCTCATTCAAATCACTGATCTACAATTATTTTGCATCCAACTACGGCACGGTAAAGCCACAAGAATTATCGACAACATAACACCCCAATAAAACAGTCAAAACCATGAAGAAGGACCTAAAGCAGTTAAAATTACTTGGCCGCAACGACCACAGTTTTGACATGAAAATCAGTACATTAAGCAAACAAATAAGAACAAAACTGTTATCAATGAAAAATGCAAAAACTGAAAAACATGTCGACATAACAAAACAACTGAAAGTCAAATTCTGGTCAACATGCAAAAAATTGTTCAACCCATCAAACAGCTTAACCCCATCATTCAGAATCGACGACTGCAAGAAATATTTTTACAACATACTCCACGACCCATTTCACAACAAGTTTCGCCTTCCGAACTGGGTTCCAACATTGCAGCAACCAACAATTCCATGCAACATCAACCCCCCAACATACCACGAAATAGCAACAGTCATTAGAAAATGCAAACATAGAACATCCCCCTGTCTGCTTGATCAAATCTCAATAATTGTCTTCAAAAAATGCCCTATGCTGCGCACAATCCCTCACCAATTAATAGTCAAATGCTGGAAGTCTGCTACGATTCCATCCTGTTGGAGAAAGGGCATCACCATTTTAATCTATAAAAAAGGTGACCCCAATGACCCAGCTAACTTTAGACCGATAACGATCTAACCGGTTCTTTAGAAGATCTTCTCTACATGCCTCAACAACAGAATACACAAATATCTGGAAAACAACAGCTTTATCAACAAAAGGGCTTCTATCCAAAATTGGACGGAGTGACGGAACACACTCATCTACTTACCCACCTGATGAAAGATGCGAATCATCAAACGATCATCGTAACCCTTCTAGATCTCAGAAATGCATTTGGGGAGGTTAGTTACAATCTCATCTCATCTGTTCTAAAATACCATCATATACCGGACCAAATATGCAACTTAATTGATTCTATTTATGTTGACTATTCAACAACAGGATCAGTACGCGAGCAGCTAACTCCACCAATTCCTGTGAGACGTGGAGTGCTGCAGGGTGACCACAGTTCACCTCTTCTTTTTAACCTCTGTTTCAATCCTCTAATGAAAATATTAGAAAGAAAAGAGTATGAACAATGTGGATACCTATGGGGCCCGCGGCTAATCTAAAATCCAGAGCTTGGCTTCAATTCGCTGACGATACAGCTATTATAACAAACAGCTCTGATGGTGCTCAGACTCTAATCAATCTCAACCAAACCTGGTGCAAATGGTCTGGCATGAAAATAAGAGTCGACAAGTGTTGCACATTCGGGATGCGAAAGCAGAATGGCACATATGAACAATTTCTGCCGAAGCTAACAATAGACGACGAAACAATATAGGCGTCGATGACAAGTTTGAGTATCTGGATAAATCTTATGATTTTGAGTGCAAAAACGTCAAGGAAAAAGAGATACTCCAAAAGAAACTAATGGATATGCTGCAAGTAATCAGCGACTTAAATACAACAGTTCAATGGAAACTTTAAATCTTACGTCGCTTCATTCCGTCTCAATTATCATTCCAATTGTGATTGTACAATATTTCGCTAACTTGGATAGGACCTAACAACCTAGACCCGTTGATACGCGAAGCTGTAAGAGATTGGTTGTCTCTTCCCGTAAGTAGTTGTGTTGCTGAAGTTTTGTCGACAACCAAATATAAAGCAACGATATTCAAATGGCGTGCAACGTACTGAAACAGCGTCAACACCAAAATGACTTCAACCGTCTATCGTCGCTACAATGCCAAGGAACATTGATAAAGTCGATTAAGGAAAACATTCACGACTCAGAGATCACCTGTTGGGCTAATGCAACAAAATCCCTGCCAGAAGTTTTATACAAATTCACAAGGAAATATCTCATTCAACAACTACCAACCAACGCTAACCTAGTCAAATGGAAAAAAACGAACAACGCAGCATGCTCTCTCTGTAACGCCAAAGAAACAAATAAGCATGTAGTATCAAACTGTGATTTGCCATCTGCACTCGCTAGGTACTTAAATCGCCACAATAAAATACTTGCCATCATCTTAAACAACATCAAATCATGCATCGAGCCTGGAGCATTCATTTTTGCGGATATCGAAGAAGAATCGATCCGCCCTGTGTCGCAACTGTTTACCTCGCTCAGACCAGACATAGCAATCTTGTACAAAAAAACGATTGAAATACTGGAACTAACAGTCTGTCATGAAACCAATTACACCAAATCAAGAAACTACAAAGTGGATAAGTACAAGAACAACCTCAAGAATAACCTATTGAATGATTTTAAACATTGCAATATTTTTTATCAACACTTTTGAAATCTCGCCAATAGGACTTTATAATTCTTTCAATTTATCTCAAACTAAAATAAACTGGCGTGACGATTTTAGGTCTAGCTTAATCAATTCTGCGATAGCGTCTACTTACGCAATATATTGTGACAGAAATAAAGCTTGACTAGTTTTTATATTATTTTATCATCTTGTACACATTCATAATGACGAGCATTGATGTTAAATTATCCATTGATTTAATCTTTAATCTTTTAACTATTATAATAATTGATCATTTTATATTTAATTGTAATTTTCATTTATATTTTGGCTTTTGAAGAAATAAAAGAGTTCTCATTATTGCTGTACAATTAAAACAAGATAGTCGTTTTTCCGTAAGTTACTGTTTTTTAGCAATTTAAAGTTTTATTGACGTTGTATATATTTAATTTTAGTACTAAATTGTCGGAAAAATTATGGGGAACACAAATATGTTTTTAAAATTCGGTTTTAATAAATATTTTAAATTTAGTGGTTTAATTGTCATAATTTTAATCTTAAATTCACTTAACTCTTAACATTGAAATTTCTCCAAATTTACTGACAATTAATAATAACAATATTTTACCGGATAATTCAAATAATTCGCTGTCATGTTGTTGTGGAAAGTCATGCAAAGGACGAAAAGGACTATCAATGCACAAGAGATTTTGTAAAATATACAAATCTCTCAAGCCAGTAACTCAGGAAGATAAATCAAACGACAGCGACGCAACCAGCCAACCAATATTTCAACACACATCAACTTCAACATCTACTCCAAAGCCAATACCGGAATAAAATTACCCAAATTATCAACTCAGTGGTCTGAGGCCAACGCATTCTTTCAGTTGGAATTTAGATATCTGGACGTTATCACAGATATCGACAGTTTCGCTAACAGGTTCCAGGAGGCAATCTACTCATATTTTGCTGCCAACTGTGGCACTATAAAAATGAAATCAAAACCTGTTGAGCACATAAATCGTGATATTAGGCGTTTAACAACAAAATTGAAAAATTTAAAATCGTAATGTGTTGGCGTTCAACAACAATTTTACAATGTTGGCGTAGGGGGCTAACAGTTTTAATCTACAAAAAAGGTGATGCAAGCGACCCAGCAAATTTTCAGCCGATCACACTACAACCGGTACTCTACAAAATCTTTTCAGCCCTCATAAAATCCAGACTATACAATTTTCTAGACAAAAACAATTTCATCAACAAAAATATTCATAAGGGATTTTATTCAACGATTGATGGGCTAGCCGAACATACACAAATGCTATCTCATCTGTTAAAAAACGCTAAACGACATCAACGCACTATTGTTGTAGCATTGTTGGATCTGAGAAATGCTTTTGGAGAAGTAAATCACAACTTCATCACTTCAATTCTAGAATATCATCATGTTCCCCAATCACTTCATAAATTAATATCATCAATATATTCCGATTATTCAATATCAATCAACGGTGAACTCACTCAAGCAATACCAGTCAGGAAAGGGGTGCTTCAAGGCGACCCATGTTCACCATTACTCTTCAATATTTGCTTTAATCCACTCATGAAAATTCTAGACAGTCAAGAATACAGGCAATATGGCTATCTGTGGGATCCAATTTCCGACTTAAATGCTAGATCATAGTTACAATTTGCTGACGACTTAGCAATTATAGCACATAGCTCAGAAGGCGCATAAAAACTTGTTGATTTAATTCAAGCTTGGTGCAATTGGTCAGAGATGAAGATGAGAGTCGATAAATGTTGTTCGTTTGGAATGAGGAAAAAAGATGGTATTTACAAGCAATTTTTGCCAAGATTGACGATCGACGATGTGGCAATTCCTAACGTAGATGTTGTTCCGACAACATGGCCCCAAAATGCGTTTACATACCTTGGTAAACTGTATGATTTCGAATGCAACGACCTCAAAGCAAAAAATCTGATACAATCTAAAGTTGTTCAACTGTTGGAAACGACTTCAAAGTTGAAAGTGGACCCTCAGCAAAAACTACAATTTTTAAGAAAATTTTTACCGTCTCAATTGAACTTTGAACTCCGCAGCTACAACTTTTCGCTGACATGGATATCAGAGAACTTAGATAATCTGATTGTTAACGCTGTCAGCGACCGTGTGTTTGAACTACTTTCTCTGCCAACGGGAGGTCATGGCATCATTTATTAAAAGATGCAACAGAAAAAATGAGACTGAAACTTTGGAACTATTTTAAAACTAGTAGCAACAAAGAAATTCAATGTCTTTATAAAGAATCAGAGATCGATTTTATCAAAGTAGATAATACGCTCTTAAAATATGGCCAAATAAAGTCGTCGCTTAGTCATTTGGAAGAAAAGAGAATTGAATGTAACTTAAATCATGCTTTCTCGCTGCAATGTCAAAGTTCACTAATTTTAAATATAAAAAATTTCATTAAAGCCAACAACATACCCCGTTGGTCAAAGTCCACGGAAAATCTTGCCGGAATCCTTTACAAATTTGCTAGAAAGTATTTAGTCCAGCAGTTGCCTACTAATGCAAATTTGTTTAGATCAGTGATGACAAATTTGTTTAGATCAGTACATTTGTACTTAAGTACGCACTTAAGTACAAATGTAGTACTTAGATACTTATACTTAATATATATATATATATAACAATCCTTATAAATATATGTGTTAAAGTGTTTTTGTTCACATTTTAAATATACGTGTTGAAGTGTTTTTGTTTACATTATAGATATAGGTGTTGAAGTGTTTTTGTTTACATTATAAATATATGTGTTGAAGTGATTTTGATGAAAATGGCTGATAAAATGCCTTTAGTAGTTAGGAACTATTTTAATGAAGTAGTTGAAGATGATGGAGATGTTATAGTTGCACTTTGTGACTTGTGCAAGCCAAAAAGACATCTTATTCGTGGACAACATAAAGCTCCATCCAATTTTACCAAGCACGTGAAGGTAAATTTGATTTTGATGATATGTTAAAATTGATAAAATGTAGCTTATAAATGAATAATAACAAAAATATAAATTTTATGTATATTATATTTCTATTTTTTTTGAATACATATTAATTAATATTATTTTGTTAATAAATCTCGAATTAACTCTCCATTAAATTTCTATTTATTGCATTTTTCATTTTTATATACAGAAGACACATGGTGAAAATTATCTACAAAAGATGCACGAGGAAGAAAATAAATTAAAGACAGGTAGAAAGCGAGGTGCAGATGAAGAAACTACCACAGTTTCAACTCCATATAAAAAACAACAGCAACTTGACTTATTAAATGTATCATCAATATCAAATAAAAAGGTTGAGGATTTAATAATTAGTTTTGTTATCAACGACTTGCAACCACTTTCAATTGTGGAAGGAGAGGGGTTTAAAACTTTGATACAGGGTCTGAACTCAAAAGCCCGAGTTATGTGTACCGAGACATTAAAAGGTATCCTGGCCACAAAGATTACTGATATGAAGAAGACTATTAAAGAGACTCTAAAAAATTTTCAATTTGTTTGCACGACTGCTGACATTTGGACGCAACATGCTCGAAGTTATATTGGAGTAACTTGCCATTGGATAAATCCAGATGATTTTAAGCGCAATGGCGTTACACTTGCCTTCCGTAGGTTCCGTGGAATTTATTCGTATGACAAAATTGCAGCCATGTTGGTGAACATTCACAGCGAGTTTGATCTGGATTCATCGAAAATAGTAAATGTCGTGACAGACAATGGTAGCAATTTCGTGAAAGCATTCAAGGAATTTGCAGAGGCAGGTATTTCTGATGATTCGCAAATAGATGTTGATGATGATGATGATACAGAAATGACTCCAGTTGAGATTGGTGATAAGTTTTTGGAAAGTAATATAGATGACAGCTCCGGAATTTATCTTCCTTCTCATGTATCTTGCTTTTCAAACACTCTAAACTTGCTTGCTACAACTGATGCAAGTAAAGCTTTGAATAATGATTCAAACTACAAAAGAATATATAGATCAGTATCCAGTAAGTGTGTCTCTCTCAGCACCGCATCACACCAGAGTTCAAAAGCTGCTGAAATTGTGCATGAAATCTTAGGCAGAACAATACCCAAACCGAATGGGACACGCTGGAATTCTGAATTTGACTGTTATAGCATTATATATAGTCTTCGCGATAAAGTAAATGTTGTGATGGAACGTTTGCAGCTGCCGAAGTTCAGCAATATAGA